ACCGTAGTTTGGGCGCAGAAGGTGCAAGCATCACGGTCGATCCAAACAGGAGCGACATCGGGTCACTCCACAACTTCCGCACACTGTGCGATGCGGGTAACGGACTAATTCTATCTGCTGCATCAGAGACTGATTGTCATTCGATTCGGCATTCGGCCATGAATAACCTATTTCCGTCCCAGGCGTCTCCATCGTTATTGTCGCAGACTTCATGAACAGCCCCAGGTGCGACACGTACCCACAACCTCCGTTTGCACTCTAAAAAGTGTGTCGCTCGATTCAGGACATGATCTTCCTGCAGTCAGCCGAATTTGGCAATCCGAGAGTGCATGGCTGGTTTGTTGCACTTTATTTGAAGCATTTGATCACGCCCTAAAATTCAAGCCCGGAATGTAGTTGAAGACATAATCAACCTTAACTCGACTTCCACTCCAACACCTCCCGGAATCGAGAATGGCCTGAACGGTCCCTAAATCGATACTATACTGTCCTGCAGCATGGGCAGACACTCTTGCGTTTATTCCGAGTAGTCCGACGACGTCAAAGGTATTCGTTGTCGCGACATCGCGGAATGCCGACAGTGGACGAGCAACAACATCACGGCAGGGAACGACGGTGGGCAGGCACGATCGGCATGCAACGCAAGAAAATCTCGGAGAAAGATGATGAGGCACGATAGACATGAACGGCGAGTGCATGAACTGATGTTCCCCAGCGCGGATGGACCGAGAACGATGTGGAAAAGAAGACAAAGCAGCTAATAGAGTCCAGTGCCGCGAAGCCATTCCGAACAGCCAAAATACTCAAACCTCATTCGACAAAGCAAATTGAAACGTCACAGCAACAGCAGCTTTTCTCATGGTCAATTACTCATCACCGCTCGCTCAACAGTCAAACATGTTCAATTCTCCAAACCATCTAAACCCGCCTCCCCACACCATTACTAGCTACGAAGTCCACCCAAGAAACGAATACCCGACCAACCAAGACATCATGTTCATGAACAAGCCCGGCTCCGTGCAACGGGGGACCGGCATGCGCCCGAGCTGGCCAAAGCACCGTAAGGCGCTTACAGAAGAAGAGCAGCAAGGGCACCCGCGCCAGCGGCCAGGACACCTGCCTGGACGTTGGACGCAGCGCCAGTGAACTGCGTGTACGGCTTGACGGGCGAGCTGGAACATGTTAGCGACATTCAAATCAGCAGGATTAGAAAACTCACCCGGTGCCGTAGCTGATGGGAGCAGTGCCCGACGGCTTGTAGCCGGAGGCGGGGCCGGACGGGTACACCGGCTTCACCGGGAGCGAGACGGGGGCGCTCGGCTTGCTTCCGCCGGTGACGGTCACGGTGTAGGTGGTAGTGTAGTCGGAGCAAGTCGCCGGGACCAGGGCCTTCACGGGGAGCGAGGGGGAGGCGCTGGGGGTGACGGTGATGACATAGGTCGTGGTGACGGGGACCTTGGTGGTGTAGGTCTTGACGGTCGAGGACTCGGTCACGGTCTTGCACAGATCGGTGTAGATGGTCGAGGTGATGGTCTTGGTGGTGTACACGAAGGACTTCTTGACCGACGACGAAGAGGCCTTGGCCGAAGACGACGGGTAGTAGTAAACCGCAGACGACGACGACTTGGGGTAGGCATAGACCGAAGACGACGACTTGGGGTAGTAAGGCGCAGACGACGACGCAGGCGGGTCGTAGTAAACGGCGCTGCTGGAGCTGGGCTTGACCGGGGGAGCAGACCAGTCGTCACCGTACGCAACGGAGGCAGCGGCCGCGCTGATGAACATGAGAGGAGTGAACTTCATTTTGACTGAGGGGGTGGTTGGTTGGTGGATTAGATTAAAGACAGTAAAAGTTGGATGCGTTGGTTTCGTTGAACGAATGGACGACCGAAGTCAACAGTAGATGCAGATGAAGATTGAGTGAGTTGGTGGAGAGAAGAACATACCGAAGGGAGCGGCGCCGCCTTTATCACTGAGCGGGAGATTAGCTCGACAACGGTCGTACGGACCGCATGCGGCTGGCAAAAGCAGCGGCGGGTCTCCTGAATCCCTATCGCCCTGTCGGATGGGCGTGGCATCTGGCAGGGGGGTAGGGGTTGCGCGCGGGAGGAGGCTGTGAACGGCACGCGCGAGAGGTCCGCCTCCCAGCGCCGCCTCGTATATTGGAAATTGAGGGGAACATGACTGGAGGAGCTTGCATCTGGCATGTCGATTTTGCATCCATTTGCCTTCACGCCTGTCTTGCACGATGTGTGGGGAGCTTGTAGTTCTAGTCCGTGGATCGTGAGCCAACTGTGGGATGCGGGGTCTAGTCGAGCGGATGTCCGTAGTTCGCTGGCTAGTTTGTCCTGGCAATGATGGCCCGCGAAGCTACAGCGGACTCTCGTCCGGAGTGAAAAGCTCCAAGACGACGGCGTTGCGGCCAACTCTCTGAGCTGGCTCTTCGCTACTTCATACTGCCCAAAGCGGGTTAGCCAGGGGGGAGAGGCGGCAGGTGCCAAGGTAATGCCAAGTCTTTGCAAAGCTTGGGCGCGTTGTCGAGGGCTCACCGCCGCCCCTGTGGCTGATCGTGGGAATTGGCTGCTTTGAGCTCTTTGAATGTGGAGCCGCGCTTGAGGTTGTGCTGTCTGGTCTAGTGACCGCTAGTTGCTGACAAGTGAATTTGCCTTGCGTGCATTGGTGCCGTCATTGTCTGCTACTGCCATGGTATGATATTCAGCCCAGTGTTCCTCTGCTTCCTTCGTGAATCCATCAGCTTAGGCGCGAAATGAACGCGTCAAAATTGGCCTCATCCGCCAAGATACAGTGTGTGGACCGCCGTAAGCATGCAGCGCAACCCGTCAGCCCGTACCGTTGCTGCGCGGATCCACCTACCCAACGGCGGCGTAGTCGAAACAACAAACAGTGTTTCCTCCTTGGCTGTTCCTGCATGCGCGCCTGCGTCCCGCACCCTGACCTGGTCTAGCCAGGCCTGCTCGCTGCAAATCCCCTGCCGGTCGGTGTTTCATTGGACGCAAAGCTCGGCGCTCATTTGTTGTGCCGCGCGCATTTGTGGGGTGGACGAATGACCGAGCCGGGGCGTTCTGCGGGCGGAAAACGACAATGAGGTGAGCGGACCCGGTCGCGGCGTGGTGACAACGGTAATGTCTCCTTGTCCCTGAGCTCCGAATTGTACTGCAACATCGAGGCTTCTATGGCGGGATCCTGACGTCAAGGTGCGCGCTCGGGCTATCTCCACCACATCCGCAATTAGCAACGCGGCATGCCGCCTTGTTTCTGGACTTGCGATGGCGCTGTGGCGCTGACAAGTCGCCGGTTGCTAAGGTTATCAGACAACGAAGGATATCGGGCGGGCTCCGCTTTGATAACAGTGAGCCATCCACGGCTAGAGATCCGAAGACTGCACAAAGCAGACAGCCGCAGAGTGCGGTGTAACGGCGCACCGCTACAGCTCCTCAAGCTTACTGACCTTCAGCTACTGGGCATCAGGCACTCCGCTGCATGTAGTCCGGCTGTGGGCTTTTCAAAGGCGTAGATGCGCCGCGCCCGGCTTCCTTCAATAACTTTTCGGTACCCCTTCGCCGTGCGGGGGTGAAAGCGCAATTCGCGCGTCTGCCGCCGCGTGGCGGTGTGAGGAGTCCAGTAATCTCGGTGGGCGTTGCTAAGAAGGTTGTCGTTGAGATTGAGATTCACCATGTCAGTGACACTCTCCTTAATGCGCGAGCTCGGGCCTACGGCTGAGGATTCATTATCGGCATCTGCCATCTGGTGGCGATGCGGTCGTAGGGGTTAGCTCACCACGAAGTTGGTGGTTTTGGGGTCGGCTGTCGAGGGGCGCTGGTGGAGAGGTGGTTGAACTTTCATTTAACGCGCGCGGGGGTCGCAACTTGGAAGTCGCGGTTCGGTTCTTGTCCATCTCCCGCGTTCTTGCCGCGTTCTCTCCGTGTTCTTCCAGGGGCTCGGTCTTCGCCATCATTGCCCTGGCGATCAAGTGTTCGTCAACCGCCGGCATCACGAACAAGCAATTTTCGATCCGATTCTCCTCCAGGATGCGCCGAAACTTTGGACTGATATGTGGCATGAGGATGGGATGAAGTCGCGCAGTAGAGGATCTAGAGGATCCACATTCCGCTGCGGAGAGACCCTAGCGCCGGGGAATGCAGTTATCCCAATCCATGCGCCATGCAGTTGTTTCTCCTTTCTCTGCTCGCTTGATTCCCCGCTTGGTCTTGCTTGAGCTTCGTTTCTTCCCATGTCTTGCAACCAAGGGAAACCGCGACATTCCCAAAGCTTGTCCTCACGTCGTTAGCCACGGACCAGCATGCGCTCGCTATTCTGTCGGGCACTTTGAGGAATCTCTTCGCTCCCGGTCCAAGGGCTCACCAATGCACGTCACTCAGGCCAGGCTAGCTGACTACCCCATTGTAGCTCCGTTTCAGCGTACTAAGCTTCTTCAACTGCCCGCACGGTTTCCATGGGTTCCGCCCACGGTGCAAACCAGATCCTGTCCATCATAGTTCCGCCCAGCTACCGATTCTCGACCGGCCGTTTCAGCACGCTCCGATCTGGGCGAAGTACCCACTCGATCTGCGGGTGATTTCCGGACGGACGGCGCCGTCGGCTTGCCGCGGGGTTCGTCAAAGGTGGGGCGAAGGCGGGGTGCACTTGTCGACTTGAAACGCTGGTTGCTTGCTTCGCGCGAAGTCATGGTTTGGGAGCGCGATGGACAAAGGCGAGACCTGGACTGGGGAGCAGCTGTTGCATGGTCCCCTTCCGTTTCGTTGCATGGCGTCATAGCATCGTTCACGAAGTTCGCTCGACAGAAGGTGAGGCAGCGTTTTAGCAATATATACGAAGTTCCCGTACCGCCGTCGCGTGCATTTTCGAAAGTGTCCGCCTACCTCCATCCCGTCGATAAACTTCCCTTCCGGTTGTCACCATCGCTAAAAACTCGCAGCTCAAGTACTATGTTTCCAACCAATCGTCCCATCAAGCTTCAATCCTCCGTGGCGCAATTGGCTAGCGCGTCTGACTGTTACCCTCGATTCGAGATGCAATCAGGAGGTTCGTGGTTCGAGCCCACGCGGGGGAGGATGAGATAGCTCTTTTTTTCGTCCCTACCTAAAGTTGCGCTAAAGCTTTTTGGCCGCTCGCCGGGCGGGGCGGAATATGGCGACGAGATCTGTGTGCGCGGGCGAAGCGAGCCGGGCGTGTGACAGCGCGTCGTCGGCCGGGGTAGACGCAATGCCGCCACACGCGTGAGACGACGCGCATCCACAGCTTCGCGACACACGAAATGTCGGTAACCACGCGCCGGCCCGACCCGTAAGCCTCATACCCAACCGACGATGGGTGACGCGTCAGTGTGCGCGGACGGCGTAGGAGACGTTGGGATTACGAACGCGCGGGGCATGGGCTCAGAGTAAGGAGCGTTCTTCTGCTTTTGCTGCTTGCGTCTCTGATTCATTCTAGCGGTCTTGCTCGCTCTTAGGGTGCACGTCGTTTGCTGGGGCTGATTCCTGATTCCTGCGTATTGCGTCTATGGTGTGGCTAAAGACTGAGGTTTGGCTTCTTCGTAGAGCGGTCCACAAGGGATTCAGCTGTGACCGCACGCGATTGTTCTTCGCGGCCCTCTCCATGCTGAAAAGTAACAACAGGCTGGTAGATGCCAGAATCATGATTGCGAAATCTCCATCTACTGCTGCTCACGCCACTACTCTATCTGCTTACCTGAAGCTTCGCGACTCGATGGCCAGAAGACATATCGTATTCCTGCGCAAGCTTCGGAGGCCAACTTGTCCCATTAGTTGCCACTCATTTATCCGTGAATGACCGGACGGTAGGTCAGTATTGCATCCGAGTAGAGTATGGCGCTGACAAACATGCGCGGCCAGAATGACAGCAAAAGAGCAAAAGAGCAAAAGGAATTTTTCCGTTACCGGGAATCGAACCCGGGCCGACCCGGCTCTACATGAAAGCGGGCAATCCTAACCCCTAGACCATAACGGATACTTTGATGCTGAAAGTTGTTTGGCTAAAACCTAGGTGGGGACGTGGAGCTGGAGGATCGGGGACCACTCGGTGCAGAGCCGGGGAACGTGAGGACATCCAGACTTTTCTTGCTCGCACTTACCACTCAGAACAAAAGCCAGAGAACAACAGAAGCCGATGCGATACACCTGCTGCTTTGAGAAGCCAATGCACTGTCGTGCAGCCCCAAATCCTGTCAGATCGCCGCTCCAATACTCCCGACGGCGCACGCAACGATTTTCAAGAGAAGAAAGCTTTAAGGGAACAGGCGCATAAAACTGCAGATCAAGCGGACAGAGTGGTCATACAGTGGCACGCTGGCATATAGCTCAGTGATTGACGAAGGCAGCTCCGCAAATGCCACACAAAGCTCGAAGAGTGCCCACTAGTGACGAGCATATTGAGGAGGCGATAGGGGTGCGAAGCACCCCACAATGAGATCAAGGTCTTTGCGGGGAAGGCTGAAGGGTCTTAAACGATGACGTTGGCCCGGGGCGGACAATGGGGGCATACGTCCACCGGCAGTGAGCCAATGGTACGCTAGCCAGGGACGGAGAGGCGGAGTATCAAAGTACACGAAAGGCGGCAATCATATGAAGGAAGCAAACTCCGATGGACATCTTCGGATGCTGGGGGCTTGCAGCTTCACATTCAGAGCAGCACTTCTCCGTGTCTTTGAGATCACCTCGCAACCTCTACAAAGTAAGCAACCAAAGCCCGCCGTACCGTGCAATCTCCAAGTTGATGTGCAAGTCGATTTCCTTCACCATGGGGATACTCAACGGACGGCATCAATCAGATTCTTGTTTTCCAGGTCTCCGTCAAGAGAAGGCGTGCTACCTTCTTGAATTGACGGACCATTTTAGGACTCCGGTGATTCTGTATGCCACGAGCAGCCCTATCCCGGTGGTCATGGGGGAGGTTGAACGTACGAGGAATACAGGTGTAAGAGTGCGGCCACAAAGTTCCCCACACTCCGATTCCGGTGGCAAGCTGACGAGCAGTAGCCTTAAAGTCCTCTCTTGCTCCAGCAAGCCAATTCAGCGGACCCGCCAAAAAACAACCAGTAAGTCATGTCTCCACCATCAGTTCAACTAACAACCCTACAGGAATGGGTGCTCCAGCCAACTTGCTGTCTAGCTCTCCCGCATCTCGGGTGAAGCTCCCACCGTACATAATGGGCAGGCTGGCGGCAATTTGTGCAGAAGACATTCGTGTCAGCAACGCCCACGTCGGAGACAACACCCAGCCTCCGTGGCCCCACGGTCTACCTTGGCCGCAATGGCGGGTCGCGGCTGTGGTACTACGTGGAATACTCAGCCGCCCATACGAGGAGCAGCGTTACACCTCATTTCGTTCCTCAGAGGACCTCCCGGGATATATTCCGCTCGACAGCTGGCGATCGCAGCCCTCCTCAATAAGTCGAGATGATTGAGACAGTTGACAGTGACCCCGAGACCAATCTCCCTGGGCCCCGCAACTCAGCCGAGCCACCTGAACCTTCGGAATCATCACAGCCCTCACTGTTAGCGCACGCCTTCAGAAACTCAACAGGCCTTTTGGGACGTCCGAATCAACTGGCCTCTGACAACCATAGCCAACTGTCTCCAGAGTACCCATATCTCTCTACCCATCAGGAGCATCCTCAACCACTCTCCCGGCGCAGTGCCTGGCTGTGCTGTCCTCAAGCCACGTGTGACCCTCATCATATTGATTACAGTCCGCCAGTCTATCCTAACGAGCATACACTCCTTCCAACGCCGACCGCCCTTTCATCGGCGACCGGTAATCCCTGGCTTTGTCCCCAGTCCCAAATTTTTGTTTGTATCTGCGGTGCTCAATCTGCGGTGCTGGAGGTCGAGTCCGACACTGACATGCCGGAGGCAACCAACCAAGGAACTGATGGTAGTGCTGAGGAGAACGGCGAAGGCAGTGATGATGATGGCGAGGAGGGGTGGAGCAGCTTCTTTCGACAGCTGCGGCTCCAGTTTGGGGACCGGGCTAGGCGACACTGAAAGTGGAGAAGAGATGCGCGGCATCGAACGGACTGGTTGATGACGGCCAAAGGCGTCTGCTTTATCAAGGAAGTCTACCTTAAGGTTACGCGTTTCTAGATGCTGTGAGTTTTGATTCGGGGTCCAAGTTTCTTCAATTTCTACTCGTTTCCGGTTGAAATTCACTCGCGGCATTATCATCGGAGGTCCTGATGCAGAGCTAATGTTGTGGCGCTGTGGTGGTTGGATGCGTGGGTTACTCAACCCGGGAAGGCTAGCGGCTCGGCCCGCTTCCCGCCGCCACTAGGTGCAGATGCGGAAGGGTATCATGACATCACACATGGCACACCACACATCACAAATACAAATGCCTCGGTTCACTGATCCATTGACCTTAAGCTATCCATAGAGGACTGAACCTGGGACATGCACACCATCTCCATAGCCCTTAAACGAAGATCATGGTAACCGAGTTTTTCCGCGGACTTTTAGCTTTTCATGTGTTTTTGCTGGAGGTTTAAACTTTTTGGTTCGAGTTAAGCCTGAAAGGACCTCTGAAGCCCGTTAGCGTCGCTCACATACCACAGGAGAAACTTACAACATACGACCTACTAACTCCGCTTGAAAATGCGCTTGGCTAGCACACGAACACGGGTCAGTAACTGCAGGCGGCTTCCGCGCGACGGCTGAACCGCCGTATCATCATAAGCGAACTCCCAGCGCGCAAACTGTTCCATCGCAAGGACCGGCGGGAGGGGGGCCGCCCACATTGCCTCAATCCGCACCCGAGGTGTCGCCGTTGAACGACCCCACCCCCGACCCAAGTACGGGTTGTCGCGGGCTGCGGGGATGGGAAGAGGGTGCGGCTGCAAGGTATTCAGTGCTTCCTGAATGTCCATGCGGGTGCCACCTGGAGCAACCACACCCTGCTCGTCCCATCCCATCATGGTCATCGGGCGCCCGTTAGCCAGAGAACGAAATCCACGCCGCGCGGGTGAATCTGGGGTCGGCATACGTATCGGACCTTCCCAAACGTCCCCGGAGAGCCCCAGAAATACAGCCGACCCCCCAGGGCCAGCAATGGTTGCGCGGCGAGGAGTCGGGATGTCCTGAGACTCCATGTTCAACGTACTGGGCGGATTAGCAGGTGATTGAAAAGATAGGGGCGGCTTACCCAAGCGGAGCCTCCTGTTCAGCATCATGTGCAGGCGGAGTTGCCATGCCACCACCACCAGGGCCAGCATTTGGAACCAGCTCCTGAACTTCGATATCATTTGCAGCACCAGGCAGAGCAGGTTCATCCGGGTACCTAGCAAATTGGTTAGAGTCATTACGGACAGAGGCACGAACACGCACTCGTTATCGAAATGATTCATGGCCAGATCGAATTCGCTCATATCAACGGCAAAGCTGGTGTTCGACGAACGAGAATGCTGATACCCTGATGGACGACTGCCACCCCCCTGGCTGGGAGACCATTCCGCAATGTTAGAGTCCATATCTTCTGATCTGGTTCAGCTTTATAATATCGATATACCGGTTATACTGACCGAAAATGAACTGCGAAGTGAGAGTAGGAGGAAATATTGAAAGTTGGAGGGCTGAAGGCTAATGAAACTTTCGAAAACTGGGTAACAATGCACGATTGTTGATGTTCGCGTTGCAAAGAGTTCATGAAAGCAAACTGGAACCTGATCTTTCCGACCATCCACACTGATTACCGGATACTCACTAGCTTAAAAATTGTTAAGCTCTTTCCCCCGCCGAATAAGGCGGGTGCGACGGGGCGGGGGTGAGCGCCCGCCTTTTTTGGAAGCCCAGTGGGGGTGCCCGCCTTCTTGGAAGTTAAGTGAGTGAGTGGCCCTCAACTTGCTGGCACTGGACTCATGGCCAAATCCTTCTCCATTCTTTTACCATGCTCTCCATCTTTCTCTTTTGCACAGTGTGCCCTCACCTTCACGCAAATCAACCACTGTCCAACTTCTCCTCCACGACACACTGCTATACCTTAACTCCTCACCATCGGTCACTAGCCTTGCCTACCTCCTCGATGAGATTCTGAAAAATCCAAACCATAAGGAGTGGCTCCATTATATTTACAACATTGGCGGCTAGCATGTTCCGGGTCCCGGGACGGCTGAAACTCAGCCGCGTATGTGACCTATTATACACGTACAACATGTCAGCTCCAGTTTGAAAACGAGGGATGGAGTACTAACAGATGACAGATATCCCATTTCGCATTCGCAAACCCCTCGCTGGTGCTGTGTTTGCCAGCGAGACGGTTATAGTGTGAAATTACCTCACTCAAAACCCTATCACCAGTTGAGCGATTTGCTGCGATGTCTCGGCAGCCTGATGATGGCGATGGCCATATACGACAGGGGGTCTCCGGAAGAGCAGCTGCGTCCGCCAGGACGGTTCGCGCAAACCTGGAGCTATACCGTCTTTCCATGGGGTACTCTATAAGGTAGGAAAAAGTCTATCTACACCTCCGGCGAAAGCGGGGAAAACATGTGCTTGTGTACCGACGTTCTAACACTGTCCAGACTATACCATTGGGGCTCGAGTCCATATTCTATATACTTCGAGCGGCTGTGCCAGCACAGCTTCGTCGAGCGTTGAGGCCTCGTCCAGCACTGAGAGGGCCTCGGACAAGACGACATATATAGCCCCCGCGGGCAGATCGCAGCGTCGAGGAGCGGCCCATCTCCCCTCAGATGGCCCTGCGCTTCGTGATCTTGTCGGTGCTTTGTTGCAGGCTCACAGTCATGACCGCCACCGCGCATGGTCAACGTACTAGTTCTGAGCATCTTCAAGAACATCACTGATGACAACCTTTGAACTCTCGGCTTGGACCAAGCCTCGCCGGCTATAGCTCCATCGTGCATGATGAGTTCTGGTATCGACCCGAAAGGTAATACTGTCAGCCGCAATGGTTAGAGAGAAAGTTTTATTAACACCGGGAGCAGTACCACCACTGAC